TGCTGTTACAGACAGTAACGTTGGAAAGAGCAGCCGCGGGGATGAACCGCCACAATGCACTTTTTAACAGGACACATTATGGTAAATCCACTGAAATTGGTCTTGGATATGTTGTTTTATGTGTTTAGGGTCTGTATTAGCACAGAAAATCTGATTTAAATGCTTCTAGGGGCTACAAAGCTATCTACAATTGTTGACCGACTTTTCTCAATTCCGGTGGGGACGGGTCTGATTGGTTTAGAGCATACTATTGCGTTTTGTACGGGTATTGAGTCGGAGTATTTCACGGGAACAAGCCCAAACAAGGCAATACAAGGTCAAAACTTCTGATTAATTGCTGGGCGAGTCCGCCATCTTGTTTTCGACTTGTAGTCCAAGCGCAGCCAGCATTATGAAGCGAGTCTGGGCTCATAGAAACAAATGTTCGGTAATTGGTTGTGATAACCAACATTATCTTTTGCACCAGCTCCCAGCCAAAGAACCCCAGAGAAGCTTGTGGCTAAACTTTATACAGTAGGGCAAAAAAGTATTTAGTCAGCCACCGATTGTGCAAGTTCTCCCACTTAAAGGGGACATATCATGAAAAATCCACTTTTTGTGCCTTAAATGCTTTATTTTGTGAAGTTGGAGCCTCTAGAAGTTGAAAAGTTGAAATCAGTCTCTTCATGGGTTGCAGAGAACACTTCATATTCAGTTTAGGTAAGATTTTTCAACCCGTTCTGATTTTGCCATTCTCTATTACGTTTTTAGAATTATTATGTCACAGTATTTGCAGCGAGACTGCTATATAAGTAGGGATGTAACGATTCATCAAAAATCAATTTAAAATAGATTTAAACTGCTTAAAGTATGAATCAATGTAAAAAAAAAAAAAGAATCGGTTCTCAACGGCACGTTCAACAATCGCTCTCTCATGGCTCTACAGTAAACAAACTCCTTACATAAATTAGGTTGCACGCTTGCGCCAGAAGTCTTGCGTATTGCGTTTGTGGATGGCTGCAGCGCCAATAAACAAACTAAACACAAGCAAGCATGGCAGCGGCAGCAAGCGACTTCGAAATAGAAGACCCTCCAGCCAATTTAAAGTCAGTCGTGTGGGAGCATTTTGGCTTCCCCGTGTTTACAAAAGAAAATGGTGAGAAAACTACGGACAGGACAAAAACAGCATGTAAGCGTTGCAAGAGAGTGATCACGTATACAAATAGTACGACCAACATGTCGCAACATATTGCCCGTCACCACAGCGAGCTACACTCGCCACCGACACCACCACAAGAGCGAAGACTGGCAAGGGGACAAACTACGCTGACAAACACATTTGCACGTTCTTTAGCTCACTCCAGTGTAAGGGCCAAAGCGACACAACTTTTGCCTGAGAATGTAGACATTTTGGTATTTCTTTAAAAAAATATGCCAAAGAAGCACTAGTTCACTTTTTGGAATTCTAATTTGAGTTTTGTTTTGCGGTTACAATGGTACAAGTTGCAGATGTTCAAATGATAAAAATAACCATTTTTGACCATAACAGGATTTGTGATAACGATCAAAGCTAGTGTACGTTTATTTAATTTTTATGTTTAGTTCTGGCACTAACAAAACACAGTTACAGTGTGATCTGATCCAAGGACAAAAATGCAGATCAAAATTATTTTTTGTTAATTGTCATGTCTTGTAATTTTGTTTATAATGTAAAGTTCTCTTACTGAGACAACAGTTACATTTTGTTAAGGACAAACATGCAGATGTTAAAATAAAATAAACATATTTTGGTTATAAAATGAGTCATATTGATTTTGTAAAGAAAATAGGTAAAAAAATCGGAAAAAATCGGAATCGGGAACTTAAAATCGAGAATCGAATCGGCCCTTGAGTGAATCGTTACATCCCTATATATAAGGGCATGGGCGTCTAACAAAGCACTTCGGCCCAGCCCTCCTCTACTGTGCATCACTTCGAATTTGTAGTCCAAGTTCAAGGATGCCAGCGAACAGGGCTGGACTGGCCATCGGGCGTACCGGGCAATGCCCAAAGAGCCGATGGCCATATTTGGCCCGGTCTGTCTGCCTCATACAAAACACATGTTTATGAGAAGTGTAGAGAATTGTTCGCGCGGGGCATGCATTTGCATTGCATTAAAAGTTCATGTTTGAGCCCAAAAGTAATATGTTGTGAACAAATTAAACAGATTTAGAGCCAGCAAATGGCTGACAATATGCATTTCAGTCTTTTTTGACCAATTCTCATCCCTGTAACAAACAATAGTGTTGTCTGTGCCCACCTCCCTCACTCTGAGACATGTTTATTACTCTCTTGTAATGTAGACTATTGCATTTTATTTTATTGTTGAAACTGCACATATCCTGATCCTCTACAGTATTTGCTTCCACATACTGTATAAACTAGGAGTCGGCAACCTGCGGCTCCGGAGGCGCATGCGTCTCTTTCCTTCTGTAGAAGGAAAAACGTTCTTAACGTTTTTAAATGCTGTAAAATTGTGCATAAGTAATATTCAATTTAAACATTTCTGTCAACGTAGTGTGTCATATCCTGCGACGTAGGCCCGCGCCAGGCGGCCGCTGTTGTAAACAAACCGGCGTGTGAGCATCATAGACTGTGCGCATGGATCCCAAAGCTAAAAAGAGAAGTCGATAATAAGACTGGACTAAGAACATTTTCTTTCAGTCAATGAGGAAGGCCTGCTCCAATTATTTGAAAACACGATATGTCCACTTTAAAATAATGAGGGCTCTGTAATTTTCATCATAGGTACACTTCAACTGAAAGAGACAGAATGCAAAAAAAAACATCCAGGAATTCACATTGTAGGATTTTTAAAGAATTTATTTGTAAATGATGGTGGAAAATAAGTATTCGGTCAACAAGGAAGATCTCTGGCTCTCACAGACCTGTAACTTCTTCTTTAAGAAGCTCTTCTGTCCTCCACTCGTTACCTGTATTAATGGCACCTGTTTGAACTCCTTATCTGTATAAAAGACACCTGTCCACAGCCTCAAACAGTCAGACTCCAAACTCCACTATGGGCAAGGCCAAAGAATTGTAAACTGCACCAGACTGGGGCTGTGTCCAAATTGGTAGGCAATTCTGAACATCAGCGGTGAGTGACCCATACATAAACCTAACCTAAATCCATAATTCGATCCTCTGCAAATGTGTCCGAATATGTGCCGGTATCTACTTCCGGGTTTTTTGGGATCGCCTTTTCTCGCATTACATCAGTGTTTTTGTCATGAAAACGGAAACGAAAAATTCTGAAAACTTCCGTGCACTTGTATTAAGACTGGATATGTATAAATTACTCTCTGATTAACATTTAATTGCATTGATTGATTGGCATTTGCGTTTATTGAGCGGTTGGAACTACTTCCGGGTTTTTCACGATCGCTTTTTGACGCAGAGAAATAGTATTTTTGTCATGAAGACAAGACCAGAAAATTCTGAAAATGTCCGTGCACGTGTGTGAAGAATGTATATGTATAAGTATTCTCCGATTAACATTTAAGTGTGTTGATTGAGCGTGGCTAGCTCCGGAGTGGCCGGAACTACTTGCGGAGTTATCCACGCATTTGAAAGACAAGCAGAGAGTGCGTTGCCAAAGGGCAGCGGTCATTATTGTTTTGAGAGGTCCGTTATAGAAAATAATGACCGGTAGAACGTTTTGAAATTACATTCAAATCAATGGAGCATTCTACTGCTGCTGTGAGGAGCCGTATAATAAAACGTGTTAATTACGTGTTACGTGTTAATTACGATTAATTAACGCCACAAAAATTGGCGCAAAATAGAGTTTCAGACGGACCGATTATACTGTCTGGTGTGGCGGGAGAAATTCTCTTACTTTGTCAAAAAATAACTGCATCCATGTTGGCGAGCGCTGACTTGTTTTTAACTGTACAGTATCCACATAATACTTTTTCATAACAGTAGGTGGCAACAGAGAGCTAAGTATACTTTGAAACGTTGGAATAGGATGCGACCACTGGATGTACAGTAACAGTAGCGGGAGCCTTGTGGCGAGAAACGTAAAAATTGGTCGCGACCAACAAATGGTAGGGAGTGAGGAGCATTGTGGCAAGTGAGAAGTGAAAGTGATTAAGACGTTTCTGGAAAGGAATTATGTTCTTTCTGAACAGGATTCACATCCTCCGCTCTGACCAGAACCGTAGACGTGCGGACGTAACCATGGACTCATGCTAAGGACCATCTTTTGTGTCTCTCCCATGTCTGTGCAACCATAACTTTATACATGCATAAACAATGCATGTTATTTGTGCTCAAAAGTAAAAGGTTGTGAACAAATAAAACTGAACAGACTTAAGAGCCCAGCGAGTCATTATTTGACTTTTTGGGCTGGATGTTCATTTTAGCACTTTGAGAATGACTTTACATTGTGAATGTAAAGTCAGTATGAGTATGTGAGTTGGAGTATATACAGTATTTTTACATTTTGTCCTGGTGGTGTGCTGCCAGATTTTTTCTATGAAAAAAATTTGCTTGGCTCAAATCAGGTTGAAAAACACTGCTTTAGTAGATCTGTAGGATGTTTAGCGCCTCATCCAAAGAGCTATGTCAGTGACACTGAAATTGGTGACAATTTCAAGTTACTAAAACTGTATTTGTACCAGTTGTTGTCCTTGGAATAATGTAACTTATTTTGACAATTAAAAAAAGTCATGAGCTATTCTGTCATTTAATCTCATATCAAGTTTTGCTCATACCATGGAACTTTTTTATATCATTTTTAAAATCCACCCTTTGAACTGCTACTGTAACGTGCTGGTGTTATTTGAATGCTCGTATAATCCTAGGAGCAACAATTTGGCTTTAAAGTTATTTTTATACAAATAAAACACAAAACTATACACAAGCATATGAGGCACATGAACGCTAATTATTATCAGAATATCTTGGTTTATAAACTATATATTATATGTTTGTAGAAAATATCAGTATTAACCTTCTGTTTTACAGGTTGCCTTACTATGGAACAGGAAGAGCACGGAGGCCATCCTAGCATCAGTGCAATCACAAAGTGGAGGCACAATAATGGTACACCACAGTGAGTTCAAAACACTCCGACCACACCAGTGGTTGGATGGAGAGGTGAAAATGACCTTTAACATCCCCAACGTTTGATTCAATTAAATTGTCCTAAAAAACTTTTATGTGTAGATTATGGAGACTTTACTTCATATAGCAGCAAAAAAGAGCATGCTTGGAGAAGTATATCTTCTGGACTATTTCACTGCTGGGCTTATTATGAAGGGCAACAAAAAAGAGCTTTGTAATAAACTGCTGCCAAAGGTTTGTAGAAAATGACATGCGTGACAAATTACACATTTCAAATGTAATTCTATTTCATTTTTTCAAATTATACAAATGGAAATATTAACAGAAATGTAAATGCTGATTGCGTATTACATTATAAGTTCTTGGATTGCAAGTCCCTATTAATGGGAAACAAAACACTACCCACATGGACATTTGAAACCATGGGACAAGAAGAGGAGCTTAGAGATGAGCGTGGTGTGGTCCACACCCAAAAAAATCAAACTGTTGTCATTGCAGCTTAAAGCAATAGTTTACACCTACACCTATATACAACCTAAGCCACAGAATTATCTAAGCAAGTAGTAGCAATGGATGCAATCTAATTTTGAACCACTAGATGTCACGATAATACTCCAACTCCCTACGGTGTGTGTTACTGCTTTTATACCATTTACACACAGAGAACTCACGCCATACAAAGCAACATCACTTTGCACTGGAGAGTCCAGGCACGAAATTCAAGTGCCACACAGACGGTTTTAGGCTCAAAAGTGAAATTGTATATAATTTGCACTGAAATGTCAAAAAATGTAAAGAGCACTATAAGAAAAATATTGATGCAGTTTATTAGAGTTAGGTGTTTAGTTGTCATTAAATATATATTGTACACACTCACTCATTAACTTCTTCACTCTGTCACATTATGCATTACCTCTTCTACTATAATGCATTAGATGTTTTTTCTCCAACAAAGAAACAGGTACTCTTAAACTCAACAATTAACTAAACTATATATTTTGTGTCAGCAAAGGTCCTAAAAATTACAAGTATTGCCTATGTCATTGGACTTAATCTCATCTGTAGAACTAAGTTCTTATTCCATTTGTCAGCTCCTTGCTTGTATACATTGCAAGTTGGTGTTATCCCAGTCTTAGGATTAGGAAACTGCAATGCAGAACTCTATTATCCAAATAAAGCCCATCTTGATTGTCTTGATTGTACTTGGCTCAGACAGTGATAAGATTCAAGACCACTATGTGGTGTCTGCAGTAGGTGTCTTACTTATATGTAATTTTTTTCATTTGTTTTTGAAATGCATCATGTTTGGGACAAATAGTTGTTATGGAAAATGTGTAAATGTTCTCTGTAATATGCAGGTGGACTGCAAAAAGACAGTGGAACAGTGTATGTTCTTGATCCTGCACTGTCAAATAACATCAAGGCTTCAAAGAAAGCAGCAGCCAAAATGACGTAAATAAAAAAATGCATATCTGTATTAAAGTTCATATGTGATGTCCAATTTTTGTTTTGTTTTTTTAGTGCCTATCTAACAATGAGAGACAAAACATTGAAGACCGGAGCATGGACATCCAAAGTTTTGAAAGGAGGTGCAATGATTCATCCTACACAGACAGATGGATGTAGCCGTGGGGTTATTGTAGTCATGGTAATAGTTTTTACAATTTTTTGGTACATAAAAGCTCTTAATAGAAATTCGGCAAATTCAACATGTTCAGTGTCTTATCACAGCCTAAATGTAGACACATAATTAACACACTGTTCAAATGTTGCTGAATTCTTAGATGGCTAGAGCCATTATGGCTGACTATCCAAATCTTCCTGTCATGGATTTTTCCACATCCAAGGAAAACATGGAGCAAGAGAGGAGACAAATGGCCTTGGAGATTCTTGAAGTGTCTGGTATGCAATTATCTAAACATTTTTTACTTGTGATAATTAGTCTGTTTCACCACAAGTCAATATTCTTCTTCAAGAACAAACTAAAAGTTTTAAGACCAGTGAAAACGCAGGGATCAAAAGAATGACATTCAGCATGGTTGGCAAATAAGTTTTGAATGAGGGTAGGCCTACTCTCTTTGAGATTCATATTTTATATAATAACAAATTTGTTTATCCCATACATCTAATACAAACGTTTTAAACATTACCTTTTGCTCCAGAAATGGATCAACAAAACACATGTTCCATGTGTGCAGCATTCAGGCCACCAGAAAAAAGACGAAAAGCCCAAACAAACTGGGTAATGTCTAGCTTAAATAAATATGCCAAAAATATATAAACAGATATGAAATAATACTGTGTTAATTTTATCTCCACTTCACAGATCTGTTGTGATACTTGTGATCGATGGTTTCACACTTCCTGCATAACCATGAACGAGAAGGATTTTGATGTGGCCAAAAACAAAGACTGGTTCTGCTGCCTCTGCGATTGAGCAATTGTTATATTAAAGAGTGGAAAAATGTTGTGCTGTAATTTCATTTGTATGACTGTAAACAACTTTGTTCTTTGGAATAATGTTTGTAGTAATCAGAATCAGAATCATTTTTATTGCCACGTAAGTAAGTAATGGAAGTAATACCTAAAAATATTATTTGGAAAAAATGTATCTTTTTCCCCTTCATCTTTATCTTCACCTTCTTCCTCAACTCCTTCTTCATCATCCTTCATCTTCATCTCTTTTCTTCTTCCTTTTTCTTCCTTCATCATCTACATCATCTTTCTTCATCTTCTTCTTCCTCTTCATTTTTCTTCATCCCTTTACCCCTTACAACATCTATGAAGCCACTCAAAATGGATTCAGCCATTGGACCATTTATAGTTTTGGAAAGGGGATTGGGGGTAAGTGGGTCAAATGCCCTAAAAGCTATTGAAGAAAAACAGGTATTTTTAACCCAAACATCATTTTAAAAACTTTTAAGAACAATTTCAAGGGCTGAGCCCAAAAGCCCTCATTTATTACTATTATTTAAAAGTGGTTTGGAGTAAATGGTTCAAATGCCCTAAAAGCTATTGAAGCAAAACAGGTGATTTTAACCAAAAAAATCATTTTACAATTTTAAAAGCTTTTAAGAACAATTTTCATAGCCCTCAGGTAGTACTATTATTTAAAAGTGGTTTGGAGTAAATGGGTCAAATGCCCTAAAAGCTATAGAAGAAAAACTGGTATTTTTAACCAAAAAAATCATTTAAACTTTTTTAAAGCTTTTAAGAACAATTTCAAGGGCCTATGTTCTAAATCACTAAAAGTGATTTAGAACTTTTAAATTACAATTAAATCTATTTTGCTCGGGGTTATAATCATCCTTTTTCATTTTTTTAAAGTATATATGAATGTATTGTGTTATTTAGGCATTAAACTCTTTTTTTATATCCACTTTCATAAAAGTGAAGAGTAGGGTAAAATGTTGACGGTCCCTAAATAAAGGCGAAGACTTGCGCGAGTACATGTCCGCTCCTTGCTGCTCTCAGGCCGGCTAACAACCTCATCGCTTCCCCTCTCTGAATATTTGCCGAATATCCAACCAACTTCACCACAGTGAAATTTCAGTTGCATCACATGTTACAGACGGTAGGAATGAGGATCACTTAGCACGAGATACAGTGTTCTCTTAAATGATACAGAAAGTTTGTCAGCTAAATATTCCTGTGAAAGGAATATTGTTTAATAAATTGTTGGGAATTGTAGATGGTCTTGTTTACTAACAGGCTTTTTGACTTGACTTAACTGCTCTGTATGTGGGGCTGCACGATATATAACATTTTCATTGTGATATTGGTATGTGTGATACAGTGGGGGCGGGTCCCGGCTCAAAAGTGGCCTAAATGACGTGCGCTGACATGCTGCAATACCACCCCGGGCCGATGGGGGTGGACCCGGAATAAGAATTAGCCAATGCTAACATATAGCATTGGCAGACCTCTCGAAAACGTCTTTACAGGATGGTCCAAAAGTTGGCTCTTGGCCGAAAGCTTCGTTCCACATGTGTGTCAATGCTCGCTGTGAATTTTTGAAGTCACTCGTTCAAATGAATGGGGCTCGTGTCGGCTGACGCATGCGCAGATGCGTTTTTTCACATTTTCCAGCCCCCGCGGCCATTTTGAATCACTCCATGAGAGCCCAATTTTTGGCCCATTAGTTAGAACGGTGGAGATTGGCGTGACTGCGTCCCTTTATATATACAGTCTATGGTGTGATATCGATATCGAAAAAATGCATGATAATTTTGACATATTAGTTTAGTTTTTTTAATTTAGTCTTTATTTGAAGGGACAGTGTACAGAGACATTAAGCTCAAAGACAGATATGTTCTGCACCAGATTATAGCTAAACAGCTAGTTTCCATCTGCAGTCCCTGGTTACATCAATAAAATACATGGATACAGTAATGTGAGGGGCGACAGTAGCTCAGTTGCTAGAGCATTGGCCTTTGAGCCTGAAGGTGGTGGGTTCGAGCCCACCTCAAGACCTACTTCACAACTCCCACTGATGACTGCTGTCGTTGTGTCCTTGGGCAAGACACTTAACCCCACTTTGCCTGAAGCCCCCACTGAAAGATCTCAGCTCCTGTGGACTCACCACCTGCAGGAGGATCAGTGAGGGGCTGGTGCTCTGTGGACTGGGTGCAGCTCTGACTGCCACCCCCCCGACCCAGAAATGGATTAAGGGGAAGAAAATGGATGGATGGATGGATGGATACAGTAATGTACAATCCTAAAAAAATAACATTGCAATACAACACATTCTCTCTAATACAGACACACACATTTAGCCTCATACCTGTTTGTTAAAACCACACTTCATTCACAGCATCACACCTACACAATACACATGTCACAACCACACATTCAGATGATACATTAACACATTCAGTACATTTCTCATCATACATAAATCATATACATCCATTTCTGATCATACATAGTTCACACACATCAGTCGTCCTGGTCACACACCTCAGGGTTCGTGTGAGCAGCTTTGATTGCTCCATAACCATTTTTTAAGTTCTACTGTAAATGTAGGATAGTCTGATTGACTCTTAAGATCTGTAGTGAGCTCGTTCCATTCCTTTATTGCTTTATATGAAAATGCTGATTGGGCAAAAGCAGTCTTACACCTGGGTATGCTGCACTGCCCCCTGGTGGAGGCTCGTGTGGTTCTAGTTGTCGCAGAAGATGTGAACTGAACAAAGTGTTTGAGTGGAGCTGGTGCGGTGTTGTTTAGTATTCTGTGAGCCAATTGTATGGATGCATATCTTTGAATATTGTCAACATTTAAAAGTCTGTATTTTTGTAGAACTAAACAGTGATGGTGATGTCGTGGTTTCCGGTCGAGGATCTTAAGTGACTGTTTGTGCAGAGCTTCCAATGACCTCAGAGTGGTTTTATTTGCCTGGGACCAACAGGTTATACAGTAACAAAAACGAGACATGATCATTGCATTAAAATAAGTTTGGGCTCCCTCCAGTGTTAGTGAGTTCCTGATACATTTGAAAGTTTTTATGGTGTATTTGAGGCTAAGGCTCATCTGTTTGATATGTTTTTTGAAGCTGAGGGTGGGATCTAAAATCACACCCAGGTAACGATATTCATTCACATTTTTTACCACCTCCCCTTTTACGGTTATGTTTGGAAACACAGTTGTTCTGTTTTTATTTACGTACATTTTATTTTAAGTACATTGTTGCTGTTTTACTGATGTAATTGTGAGACAGGATTCATGTAGCCATATTGCAACCTTCTCCATTGCTACAGTCAGTTTATTGGCTACTGTTTGAGCGTCCCTTCCCCATGTATAGATGACCGTATCATCTGCATACATCTGAATTTTGACATCCTCACATACAGATGGCAGGTCATAGGGCTGGGCGATAAAACGATATATCGCGATAGACATGTGTTCGATATCAATAGAGAATGGGGTCGATAGAATGTTCGATAGTTTAACTTAACTCCGTCAGGAAAAACAGGAAGAAAACACCGGAAGTAAAGCCGACTCATAAGCGCATGGCATTGTGGGGGATGTAGGCAGAGGCTTCTCGACCAATAACAGCCGAGCAGGAACCGCAAAACTTTGTGGGAAATGCAAAAACAACAACAACCGCACCATGCGTAGCGTCCATGGATCTATAGCTCGTGTTTCAATGCCGTGTCAATGGTTATGCACGTACGTGCGCGGAATAACATGTGCGGCAGCAGAGGCAGTGGACAGACCCGATGTATTCGGCGAAAGCAAGAGATTAACTTTTTCCTCGGGAAGCATGTGCGGCACAGAGAGCCACACGGAGCGGTCACGGGGACACAAGACCCTCAAACAGCTAAACCAGGAGCTAAACCAGGAATAAAAAACCAGGATTAAACCAGGACTAACAACGAGGGACACAGTGTGAACATATTCCTCCAGCCTCATCGCCCCGTGACTGTAAACAAGGCTGCTAAGGTTGGTTAGCCCACACCACAAATATATTTATTTAGGTTTAAAAAAAAAAACTCAATATATATCGTTATCGACCGATATGAATGACTTATATCGTGATATAGTTTTCAGCCATATCGCCCAGCCCTAGCAGGTCATTTATATACAGTGAGAAGAGCAGAGGGCCGATGTTGGAGCCTTGTGGTACCCCAATATCAGTAGCACTGATGTTGGATGTGGTGTTACTGATTCGGACACATTGACTCCGGCCAGATAGGTAAGCCTTAATCCAGGCCAGAGTATTAACAGACAGTTTGAATTTGGTTAATTTTGTAAGTAACGTGGGGTGACTAACGGTGTCAAATGCTTTGCGAAGGTCTAAGAATATTGCTCCTACTACTCCTCCGTTATCAAGCTTTTGTTTTAATGTTTCAATAAGGCAGCATGCTGTTTCGGTCGAGTGCTTTGCTCGGAAACCAAACTGGGGCGAGAATTGTTGTGTACCATGTTGATTGTTATCAGAGGCGTCCCGTGCCAACAGGCAAGGCAGGCAGCTGCCTGGGGCCCCCAAACCGGTAGGGGCCGACACACAAGCGGTCGACTTGTACAGGCCACAACAGGTACTTGCAGTGACGAGTTGCAATTTGACCGCCCGTCTCAAATCCCCTGATCCCCCCACATGTGTCAGAGACAGAGGTGAGGTGAGCGGAGCGTGCAGGCAGTGTGCTATTTCTCCATCCATCCATCTTCTACCCTTTAACCCTTCAAGGTCTAAGCTCATTTTGGGGAACTTTCCTCGCCTGGTTTTCTTTGTGTATAATTGCTCATAAAATAGTCATCTTGTGATGCAGAGTCAAGCAGTAAACTTTGTTTTTTTCAGTACAACCTGTGGATTTATAATATTCCGTACAGCTGTCATATGAATTATATACAAAATATGGAATCATGAAGACAAAGAAAAAAATGAAACGGAAATTCAATTTCACCAAAATGTTTTGAAAAACACAATGAAATGCTATTGCTAACGTTTTACAGTGTATAGAAATGTTATTTAGGGTCTTGGGGTTGATGGGGAAAAAAATTGAACCTGTGACTATTATAATTTTTACAAAATTCCACTACAAGTGAAAAAAACGTTGTACTCCTGATGCCCTTCCTGAAGCAGTTTGTCTATGTCTATATATTGCTTCAGTATCACAGCTGTAAGATATGTAAAACAAAAAAACTAAGAAAACAAAGAAAGAAAAACAACATCTTATATTCATATACATCATATCATTATAATGTATTTATCGATGTCAATAATAAATATATAATATAATTACATCAATAATGCGCACTCTTCAGCCAGGTGCTGGTTCTTGTGAGCGCTGCATCTGCTCTCCTCCTATCTTTGTGTAATGCACTTTCAAGCCCAGACTCTGAACACACACATCACTCGTAGATCACGTAGATCAGTGATCAAAAGCTACATTATCAATCAATCAATCAATCTTTATTTATAGGGCGCTTTTCCTGCACAGGGCAACACAAAGCGCCTCACAGTCCACACCACACAATGCACAAATCATCACCATTAAAATACAATTAAAAACACATATGTAATTAAAAAGCATTAAAATCACATAAGTAATTTAAAAACATAAGAATCACACAAGTAATTAAAAACAATAAAATAGTTAAAAACACAAAAAGTTACAACAATAAATAACAAGGTGTGTTAAAAAGATAAAATTCTCTAGTTGTATGCACAGGAAAAAAGAAAAGTCTTTAACATGGATTTGAACATTGACAGAGAGGCAGCCAGTCTCACATCCTCAGGAAGACTGTTCCAGACTTTAGCTGCATAAATCTGAAAAGCAGCCTCCCCCTGTCTAGTCCTGACTCTGGGCACTAACAGGAGTCCCGTCCCTGCGCTCCTCAGAGTCCGGGCTGGTTCATATGGGACTAGCATATCATGGATGTACTTTGGTGCAAGGCCATGGAGAGACTTGTACACCAGGAGAGCTGCTTTAAAGTCTATCCTCTGGGCCACGGGAAGCCAGTGCAGAGACCTGAGGACCGGACTAATGTGTGAGGACCGGACATTAGCTGTGTCAGGGACGCATTTTCGTAACATTCCGCTAAAATAATGCGTCTTTTACGCATCAGTAATTGCAATCGCAGCTGTAATTTCAACTATGGGACAATACATACACACAGGAGAGTGGATCATCCTACTCTCTGACAATCTTTGGCAGTCCCTGTGTCAGCGTGTAAGCAAAATAACTTTACTGTTTTGGCTGTTTTACCTCACGGGAGACCGCTCGAAGATCCGATTGGACACCAACTTTCAAACACACGTAGAAAATCCCCCAAATGTCACACAGACAAAACAACTAGCGCTGTAATGCCTGAAATGTGTACTTCACGGAGAGAAAAAAAGTAAGTCGCTACGTTTTGCCGTTCATGAGAAAATTGAACATTTATAAAACATGTGCGCAGGCGTCAGATCCGACGCTCTAGACCCCAGAGGGTTAATCCATTTCTGGGTCAGGGGGGTGACAATCAGAGATGCCACCCAAGTCTCATAGCACCAGCCCCTCACTGACCCTCTGCAGGTGGTGAGTCCACAGGAGGGCGGCTGCTCTCTGACTGTGAGCATAGCCTTGTCTTTCAGTGGGGGCTTTGGGCAAAGTGGGGTTAAGTGTCTTGCCCAAGGACACAACGACAGCAGTCATCAGTGGGAGTCGGTGGAGAAGGTGCAGAGGTGGGAATTGAACCCACGACCTTCTGGCCTTAAGGCCAATGGTCTACCAACTGAGCTACTGTCGCCCCAAAGCAAAACAAAGTTGTCCGACCAAATGAAGAGAAGTTATCCTTCTGGAAGCGATAAACGAAAGCGCAAAAAAGTGTATTTGTATAGAGCCTTTCACAGTCCAGGATCACAAAGCGCTTCACATTTTAAAAACATACAGATCAAAATAATACACACAGAAGTCAGATTTAAAATCATAGAAACAGAAGAGGCTCCTCATCATGATCTGTGATTTATTCGAAGTTTGCGTGTTTCCAGAGTGTCAGACTTTTTCTGATGCGCAAATTCAAATTCCGAAACATGATGCTCCATGAAAACGCAGCTTATTATGTTGCCAGAGTGGGAATATGTTTATTGTTGTCCAAATCTTGAATTTCATGCGTGCTTTGGCGTGTTGTGACGAAATGAGCGTACACATTTACACCACCTATCGACTTGGTTTAAATTCTGTGCGTATCGTACGCTCACGTCCAGATTGATAAATGCGGAAAAGTGTAACTTTTTTGCGTACGCATCATTTACCCTGATTTGGCCGTACGCAAGTTTCATACAGTACATGAGGCCCAATGTTTCTCAATAAAGTGATTTTGTCCATTCCTTATAGTTTCCATGTTCAAAAAACATTTCTCTGGGTCATTTTGACAAATTTAAATGTACTCTATCCCTCTTACCACGACTGCCCACAGCCTTGAAGAAGCTATGTAAAATGGCAAGGTATAGACTGAGAACTCTACGCACATTAACCACTTGCCTATAACCGTAGTATACTTTGTGTGCAGTGTGTAGTTTGCACTACACACTGCACACAAAGTATGCTACAGACCTATAGGATGAACTGTATAAACCGCCCAGAGCCGGCCCTCAGGAGAACGCGGAAACTAAAGCAGAGTTGGAGACCAGACTCAAGAGGAGAGACACGCAGGACACTCGAGGAGCGGCACCAGGAGCGGTCCCTGTACCAGCCCGGAGCGGCACCAGGATCAGCGCGGAGCGGACGAGACAGACGGGTCGCGCAGAGACGACAGCACTCTGAGACACCACGCACTGACAGCTGAGTACAGGGACGTGGGATATGCCCCTGAGTAGTTTGGCTGCTGTGTTGGAACTTTAGGACTTAGTGACCCATCTCTGCAGAGTCTCCTGTGGCGGACAGACGCTGTGCAGCAGGAGCGGGTCAGGGATCTACAGCAACCCTGGGTTCGAGACGCACACCCAATCTGTGGAGGGAAGAACGCAGCACGCATCATCGGATCCAACCAGGAGTGTGGAGAGCAGACGCGCACTCTGAGTGCGGGCAGACTGGGACAGCGGAGCCGCTCGGCTTGGATCAGCAGCGGACCAGACCAGCCCGGGGTGGCTAGACTGCGCACGCCAAATGAGTTAAAGGGACGCTACCCCCACTTACTCTGATTTCTCCCGGCCAAATCCGGAGAGGCGTGGATTGTGGACGGGCGCTCAGGCTGGACTGGTTTAGCAGTTTAGGGCGCACCCTGTACATATTGTAAATACTTTTACCGTCACTACTGTGCTCCTGAGTAGTGAAACTGACTTGTATAAGTGCAGCTGTTAGTACATGCCATACTAATAGCTGCACTACAGATGGAAACTTAAATGAAAACGGGTTGATTAATGTGCACTGTCCCATTCAAATAAATAAACTATAGGGCCATAAAACCATTCAATAAATAAAATGTTTGCAGTTTCATTCAGCTGCTTCATAGAAGGAAGATCTTAACTCCTCACTGTGTTCTCTCTCACTCATAAAATTCTCTTGTGCTTGTCTTTATGTCGGCTCACTCCTGATGCAGTCAGATCTCTTCTGATGGAACAGTCGGATCTCTCCTGATGGAACAGCCGCAACAGCATCCTTGTCCTTGAAACAAGCTGTTACATAATCCATCCAAGTACATTTTCTGTCTAAAGGTTTGAAATTTGCCTCTACTCCTCGTCCAAGGAACTGTATAATCATTCATTTGTAACATGACAGAAGAAGAAGCCTACAGGCTGCATACAGTCAGTATTATGAATACACTCCGACGTAAATGCATTAACATGAATTCTAACCAAAGGAGCACTGAAAGCAAAAACATCAAATCCAAAAACAAACTTCATTTAACACACTCACATTGGGCCTCATGTATGAAAATTGCGCAGACAAAGGTGTACATTTTGGGTGTAGATCCAAAATGTATCCATAAAACCAGCGTATTTATGAAAGTCACGGCTATAAATATTCAGAAACTGCCTGTTCCACGCCCTGTTTTTGTGACAGGTCAGCAGGAAGTCGGCTAAGAAGCTGCAAAAAGCACGCACTTTTGAGTTTATTCACGTTTAAAAAAGATATATATACGCTATATTATAGATACACTTTTTTCCCTAGTGTCTAGACCCACGGCAGCACTCATCTCTCCTGAAATTTGAGTGAGTGCGGGCAGACTGGGACAGCGGAGCCGCTCGGCTTGGATCAGCAGCGGACCAGACCAGCCCGGGGTGGCTAGACTGTGCACGCCAGATGAGTTAAAGGGACGCTACCCCCACTTACTCTGATTGCTCCCGGCCAAATCCGGAGAGGCGTGGATTGAGGACGGGCGCTCAGGCTGGACTGGTTTAGCAGTTTAGGGCGCACCCTGTACATCGTAAATACTTTTACCGGAGTAACAGGCTTAGGCCTATTTTTAGTCTACATTGACTCTTTAAAATACATTGCTTTTACCGTTGAATGGAACACATTAAGCACTGTTAACTTTTACCTGGTTGCATCATTTCCTAAGAGTGGAAGTATTTCTGGTGGTATAGGACCCTCTCGTGACAGCTATACCCGATTTATTTTCTAATGAGTTCATAAGAATTCTTATACAAGTTGTATTCAAATCCGTAGTTTAATTGAAAGCTTGAGCTCATTGATTCAGCTGTGTATGAATTCAGGCCGTAAAAAGTGCTTAGTAGAGACGTTCGTTTTCCTCCACTCACAGAACGAGGAGCGGCGCTGCTACGAACAGGCTGCATCCTCTAGCTTCTACAGCGCAGGTAAACACAGCAGAATTGGCTGTAACTGCAGACACAGCAAAACAGCCCAAACGACGTAACAGTGAGGAAGAGAAGAGGGAACTAAAGCGAAAAAATGATCAAAGAAGAAATCAAGCCCGTGTGAACATAGCTAGCTTACATCGAATCATCTAGAGCAGGGGTTGGCAACCTAAGGCGGAATAATGACACACTGGAACCTCAGTATTATTACAATACTCACTTTATCTGTCCTGTTTTAAAAATAAAAGCATCTACCTCTTTGTCTTTGAGCCGGTGTTCTGTCGAGTTGGTCTGCTCGTCGAGATGATCTGGCTCAGCTGTTAATGATGTAATGCAAACCTGCCCATGCGCGTCTCACGGCAGCCAAAGCAAACCAAGATGGCGGACATGTAGTCAGCAAATTGCTTTAAAAGTTAAATACGAACGAATTAAGACACGAATGTCACTTTTAATGCAACTTGAGGCGAGATGTTGATGGTTCCGCGTTGTGATATGTGTGTTTTAAGAATAAGAGTTTCGTGTAAAGTTTGTTTTAAGCAGTCCACTGCTCCTGTGAAACTACACTGCTAGTGTGCCCAAATCTGATTTGCGCATGCGCAGAAACCCGCCAGAATGGGGAAAAAACTCGATCTAATTAGATATTTTGTTTGAACACACTATTATTAAACATATTGAATACAGTATGATACATGCATAAATTTTAATTTATTATTTCCATTATCAACCCGACAGACCAGTCACAGGACGCGTCATGGGCCTACGTCAGTAAAATGACGTATGCAGCAGTCAACTCAGGGACAGCGATCACACAGCAGCAGTGTAGTTTCACAGGAGCACTGGACTGCTTAAAACAAACTTTACACGAAACTCTTACTCTTAAAACACACATATCACAACGCGGAACCATCAACATCTCGCCTCAAGTTGCATTAAAAGTGACATTCGTGTCCTAATTTGTTCATATTTAACTTTTAAAGTAATTCGCGGACTACATGTCCGCCATCTTGGTTTGCTTTGGCTGCCGTGAGACGCGCAGCGCTGGTTTGCATTACATCATTAACAGCTGAGCCAGATCATCTCGACGAGCAGACCAACTCGACAGAACACCGGCACTAGGACCCGGAGGACACCACTGCGTGGATTAGCGCCCTGTCCGCTGTCTTCGTGCTGACTGAATGACAGAGAGCATGATATTGTAATGTAAAACAATGGCTAATCCTAGGCCATTCCAGTCCTGCTGGACACAAGAGTTTGGTTTTATATTTGTGAAGGACCGTGCTGTGTGCACTTTATGCTGTAAGAATGTTGTGTGCAGAACTTCAAGTGTCATTTTGAGATGAAGCATGAGAAGACCTTCAAAGACCAAGCACACAAAGCAGAGTCAATTAAACGTGCGGTGTCCAGATATGGAAAACAAGCTAGCTCCTTCAGGGTTTTTACTGCTAAAAATCACGGTACAGAAGCAAGCTATCACATTGGGCTTTGCATTGAAAGCATGGGATGCCATTTACGGATGATGAATTTATTAAGGAGACTTTTCTCAGTTGCTCTGATGCTCTTTTTGATAGCTTTCCAAATAAAGAAACCATCAAGTCACAAATAAAGGACATTCCCGCTTCAGCTAGAAGTGTTCAGCGACGTATAGATGAAATGGCTGAGAATTTCAGAGTTTAGCAAACAGCTGGATTAAAAGATGCTGCGGTATTTAGCATTGCACTTGATGAAAGCGTGGATGTGTATGACATCCCGCGTTTGGCAGTCATGGCAAGGTACTGTGAATCAACCGTCAGAGAAGAACTATGCTGCTTGAAGCCAATGTCTGACACTACAAAAGGTGAAGACGTGGCCAAGGCATTAATTGAACATTTTGAAGAAAGAGGGATTAACATCAGGGCGACAGTAGCTCAGTTGGTAGAGCATTGGCCTTCAGGCCTGAAGGTCGTGGGTTCAATTCCCACCTCCACACCTTCTCCACCGACTCCCACTGATGACTGCTGTCGTTGTGTCCTTGGGCAAGACACTTAACCCTAATTTGCCCAAAAGCCCCCACTGAAAGATCAAGGCTATGCTCACACTCAGAGAGCAGCCGTCCTCCTGTGGACTCACCACCTGCAGAGGGTCAGTGAGGGGCTGGTGCTATGAGACTTGGGTGGCATCTCTGACTGCCACCCCCCTGACCCAGAAATGGATTAGAGCATACTATTGCGTTTTGTACGGTTATTGAGTCCGAGTATTTCACGGGAACAACCCCAAACAAGGCAATACAAGGTCAAAACTTCTGATTAATTGCTGGGCGAGTCCGCCATCTTGTTTTCGACTTGTAGTCCAAGCGCAGCAAGAATTATGAAGCGAGTCTGGGCTCATAGAAACAAATGTTCGGTAATTGGTTGTGATAACCAACATTATCTTTTGCATCAGCTCCCAGCCAAAGAACCCCAGAGGAGCTTGTGGCTAAACTTTATACAGTAGGGCAAAAAAGTATTTAGTCAGCCACCGATTGTGCAAGTTCTCCCACTTAAAGGGGACATATCATGAAAAATCCACTTTTTGTGCCTTAAATGCTTTATTTTGTGAAGTTGGAGCCTCTAGAAGTTGAAAAGTTGAAATCAGTCTCTTCATGGGTTGCAGAGAACACTTCATATTCAGTTTAGGTAAGATTTTTCAACCCGTTCTGATTTTGCCATTCTCTATTACGTTTTTAGAATTATTATGTCACAGTATTTGCAGCGAGACTGCTATATAAGTAGGGATGTAACGATTCATCAAAAATCAATTTAAAATAGATTTAAACTGCTTAAAGTATGAATCAATGTAAAAAATAAAAGAATCGGTTCTCAACGGCACGTTCAACAATCGCTCTCTCATGGCTCTACAGTAAACAAACTCCTTACATAAATTAGGTTGCACGCTTGCGCCAGAAGTCTTGCGTATTGCGTTTGTGGATGGCTGCAGCGCCAATAAACAAACTAAACACAAGCAAGCATGGCAGCGGCAGCAAGCGACTTCGAAATAGAAGACCCTCCAGCCAATTTAAAGTCAGTCGTGTGGGAGCATTTTGGCTTCCCCGTGTTTACAAAAGAAAATGGTGAGAAAACTACGGACAGGACAAAAACAGCATGTAAGCGTTGCAAGAGAGTGATCACGTATACAAATAGTACGACCAACATGTCGCAACATATTGCCCGTCACCACAGCGAGCTACACTCGCCACCGACACCACCACAAGAGCGAAGACTGGCAAGGGGACAAACTACGCTGACAAACACATTTGCACGTTCTTTAGCTCACTCCAGTGTAAGGGCCAAAGCGACACAACTTTCGCCTGAGAATGTAGACATTTTGGTATTTCTTTAAAAAAATATGCCAAAGAAGCACTAGTTCAC